GTACACGAACAAAAACAGAGCTGGTGACCATGAGAGTCAACTCATTAGCATGAGTGTCAAAACAGGATAATTGCAGGATTGCTGGTACTTCACAGAAGAAGTGATCCACTTGTCGATTTCCACAGAGGGGTACCCAGAGGATAAAGAGAGAATGAACTGCTGAGTTGGTAAAACCACATACCCAAGAAGCCACAGCAAGCAAGTGACAGAATCCAGGGTGCATGAGGACAGTGTAATGCAAGGGTCTACACACAGCTGCATAACGGTCATAGGGCATCACCACCAACAGGATACACTCTGTGGCTCCTAAGGCAAGGACAAAGTAAAGTTGAACCATGCAACCAGCATAAGAAATGGTCTTCTCTGAGCCCCAGAGGTTCACCAGCAGTTGTGGGAGAGAGCTGGTAGTGTAGCAGAGATCCAGAAAAGAGAGATTTGAGAGGAAGAAGTACATGGGAGTATGAAGATTGGAATCCAGGTAAGACAAGATGATGATGAACATGTTGCCTATCAGTGTCATTAGGTAGAATACCAAGATCAACACAAAAAGAACTACTTCTACTTGAGGCCAATTAGAAAAACCCAACAGAATAAAATAGTCTTCAGAGGTACCATTGAAGTTTTCCATCATCATTTGTTTTCTGTTACCTGCAGAAAGCAGTCACATAAACACACACACACACACACACACACACACACACACACACACACACATCATAAAGATATGGTTCAAGAACCAGAAGGATACATGAAGAAGGTATTTATAGGGTCTAAATTATTTCCTCGCACAAAAACTTGCTAATTACAAAGTAAAAAGTGGAAGGACATGGTGGACACCCTTATAACAACATGACACTTGTCAATGTCACCAGTTTTAAGACAAACCAACAATATGTGGCTGCTGATGTGATTTTCTGAACACAGTGCAGTGTAATTTCAGAAATATTACTACCAAAAATACAGAGCTTATTTATAATAATGAAGACACATAACCAAAACCCAAATTGAAATTAAACATATAGTCTGTAACCTTTAAATTGTCAAGGTCAATGATAGCAATGAGAATAAGGAAGTGATCCAAATTTAAAAAGACAAAAAACACAGAATATCTCAATAGGTGGCCATATACTTGAAAAAATAGCTATTAACAACATTATCAATGCAACTGGGGAAATCTGAATATGCACTAGCAATTAGATAATATTATCCCCTTAATTAATTTACTGAATTTGATATCCACACAGAAATTATGTAAAATACTGCCCTATTTCTTATATAATAAACAGTGAAGTATTTAGCAGTAAATACCACATCTTCCAAGTACTCCAGTAGATATTATATATCATAGACTGATAGAGAGATAAATGGATAGACAGATGATCAATAGATAATTGAAAATAAGATACAAAGCTAGAGGTAAAACAGCATGTTAATATGAAAATGTAGTCTGATTAAAAGAAAAATGTAGTGCTTTGTTCTATTTATGTCAGTTTGAAATATTACTGAGTAAAGAGTTATATAAAGAAATCATACTCAGTTTTTAAATTTTATATGTCATAACTTTTAAACTATTGACTTTTCATATATTTTAGAGAGATATCTGAGTAATGGTAATTGAAGATTAGAATGCCTGATCTACTGAGGGAAGACAATTTTCATGGAACAAATCATCTTTATTAATAAGTGACTTTAGTTTTCAGCATTTTTAGTTTACTGCCACTTATCTGGTTATATCACTGAATTCCTATTCAGGTAATCATACATATGGAAGAAATACATGATGAAGAATATCAAATTTAATGGTGATTTAAGTATGCTTACACAGAGTAAAATATATTTAGATTCAATTAGATACACTTATAGAACTTTGAGAAGAACCTTTCTTCTGATTCAATTACTTCCACTCAAAGCACTAAATGAAAATACATTTTTGAATTGAGATAGCAACAAAATGGCACATAGTCACATACACATCATCTCAGAGTGTTAAACATTTACAAAAGCTAGAAATCTGGAGCAAGAGTGTTAGAATAACCAGACACATTAGCCCAGGCCTCTAAATCCCAGTGATTTAGGAGGCTGAGGCAGGAGGATCACAAGTTCAAAGACAGCTTCAATAACTTAGTGAGGCCTTAAGCAACTCAGCCAGACCCCGTCTCTAAATAAAATATAAAAGGGGTGGGAGGTGGGTGGGCTGGGGCTGTGGCTCAGTGGCCCTGGATTCAATTCCTAGTACCTCCTCATGCCAAAAAAAAAGTGTTAGAATGATTCCTGAAGAATGTGTTACTGTAAAAAAAATTAAAAGAGAAAATTTTAGAAAGATAAATATTCAGTGAAAAAAATCTAGAATAAAATAAAGGTGTGAGGAGCAGGACACTGAAGAGGAACCTGATACCAGAGTTGGGAGTGTGTGAATCTCAAAGCTGAGAAGAATGAAGCACTGGGCCTGAGGAGGTTTTCTACATGAATGACTTTTTCTCTAGGACAAAAGCTCACACAATATTTAAATCTTCAGCATAGGCTTTAACTCTTACATATGTTTATTTCTCATTCAAAGAAGAATGGTTTATATTTAATGAAACTGGTAAATAGGTTTTTTTTCATAATATGCTGCACCTAGTGAATCTTGTTTTGTTAAAAATAAACTAAATTTCACAAAGTTATGAATCTTTTTAAAATTTTTTAGTTGTAAATGCATCTTTTACTTTATTTATTATTTATATGAGGTGCTAAGGATCAAACCCTGGACCTCACACATGCCAGGCATATGCTCTACCACTGCGCCACAACTCCAGTCCCACAAAGTTATGAATCTTAAGTGAATCTTTTTTAATTTTTAATTTTTCAGTTTTTTTTTATCAGAAAGATTAGTACTGTTTTTTGTTATATAGTTACTGTGACAATTCATACTAACCCAGGGTTTAAATATCCCTTTTGCTCCCTGAATCCTTCCCCTTCTCCAATTTTGCCACATCTTTCAGTTCTCCTCACATGGACAATTTTTTTTTCTCTCACACTTCCCAAGTAACTATGACAGGAAAAGAAAGAAATCACAGTAGAGCCACTCCTGATTTCCTGGTTTGGGGGTCTCTTAGGTGCTCATATTTTTAAAATTCAACTCTTGTAAAAGATGTCAGGAGCACCTACTGGATTGAATATAAACAGGAAAATCAGGAACTATTTGGTACCAAAACTGCAAGACCAATTCAGACCTCATAGTTCTTAATGATATTGTTAAGGTAAAAAATAACTAACTGGTTTTTATCCTAATCCTTTCACACTTTCAGGATAGCCAGTCATGCTATTTTAAAAATGACTTTTCTTAAAACCTATAGATGAAAAAAAAAAAAAAAAAAAAAAAAAACACTAAAGAGTAAACCATGAAGATTCCTTCACTTGGACATCACTGCCAGTTGAGGAATGATAAAATGATATTTTCCAAGATATTTAAAAGAGATATTTTTACCAAACCTTATACTTCTTGTGATGGAGTTGTAATTTTCTCCTTTTTTTTTCTGCAATTGTATCCATGACCTAATGGATTAATAAGAACTAAGTGGGAGCTATGAGTTAACTTTATAGCATATTAAAGAAAGGGATATGAAGTAAAACAGCTGCAAATAGTAAAAAGGCACAAATTTAATGATTTCATTTTCTTCTTTGTAGAAAATATGAAATAAAGACCTTATCAAAAGTTAGTTTTGTGAGCTGAGGATTAATTCTATGTATAGGAGTCAGCATTGTCAAAGGGAAAGCGGTTGCTTTTCCCAATCCCTTTATCATTGGCTGAGAGTTTAATCATGATCATATTATTCTTTCATACTCTTATCTAGTACTTACATGATACCTCAGCAACACCTTTTAATTCCGTCCTCCTTGTGTCTGTCCACATTCCCTGTATGTTGTCTTCCCTATCTATCACTCATCAAGTATGAAGGACGTGGTCACTAGCATTGTTCTTGAAATCAGAAGCATAAGTGGGTACCTAGACCTTAAGTTCTAATTTGCTATCCTAATTTAGTAAAGCAGAATCTTATAGCAATTGTGATTATTACTGCTACAGAAGAGAGGCCTGAGTCTACTAAACATATTTTTTGTGTCCAGAAGGAGAAATTCATTAGAGCCATCAGTGTATCAGGGGATGGACACTTACCTTAGAGCAATAGTGGCCTTTCAAACAAATGATAAATGTGACATGTTTTCCTCAATTGGGGCCATTGGAATTGTAAGTCCCAAAGTGTCAATTAATGCTATTGAAGGAATTATACTTGCTAGGCACATTTCTCAGGAATGATTTTGGTGTGATTACTACAATCTTTTATCCACCAGGGTATAATTATGATCACCAATCATGAACTTGTAACCCAAACATTTCTCAGAACAATGATTTAATCTGTGTTTACCTGGAAGCAAATGCATTGTCTTGAATCACCACAAATTTCTTTCCCACTTCCTCATCAGGTTAAGGGCTACATTTGAAGGACAGCAATATAAGTATCTTTTGTTGATATAACTCTAGATCCAAATGGTATTCTAATTATTTATCAATAAAAAACTTGGGGAATGAAGATGGAGGAAATGAGCTAGGCAGTGATTCCAGAAACTCCTCAGAACAGAGAAAGGAGGCAGTGAAGGAAAAACAGAGTTGAGAAGTAGGTGACAAAATAAATGCTCCAAGTCTTGATATGAAAAAGTCTGAGACCTGGAGAAAATTGAAGTTCAGTTATCAGAGTAGAAAATAAGCACAGTGGTTCCTTACCCCAAATTTGAAACAGGATGGCGGATGGAGGAAGGGACAACAGAGAAAAAAAAAAGCAGGGAAAATCTCCTAAGTTCACCCATTTAAAAACATTTGAAAAGACAGACAAAAATTTAAAGTGTGTCAAGAATAACAGTGTCACTAGCAGAAGCCACTTACATTGGGACTTCTTAAGAATCTGGCCTGAATCAGTTGGTGGGAGATTTATAACAACTATTGAGAATTGGCTCATGTGTCCCAGAAACTCTGGAGATAGTGACAGTCAAAGAATAATGGACATCTTCTAAATGTCCAGATCCTAATAAAATACAAACCAAGATTCAACAAGAATTCTTTTAAATTTGGCATGATTTACTATAAATAACTCTAATTTCAACTTTGATTATAAAAGTAACTCTTTTTTAATATAAATGACAGCTCTTATCCCAATAGTCAACATTGTACTTCCAACCAATGTACATGTATTTTATCTAATAGTTTATAACATTAATTGGAATCAATCTTTCTATGTTTACTTTCCTAGAACTAGTTTATACTAACTCTTCTTGCCACTATTCATCCTCTAGCACTATCTGTTATTACCTCAAATAACCATCATCCATGTCTCCTATCTTATTGTGAATTATTCTTTTTATTCTCTCTCTCCCACTCCTTTTTCCACAGTCCTTCTTCTCCACCCCCCTCACTTTAGCCCTCATTTAATGTTCTAGCAAGTTCACTGAATTTAATAACACAATAAAAAAGAGAGAGAAATTCTGTAAAAGAACAAAACAGAAATCCTAGAAATTAAAAACTGAATAAACCAAACTAAAAATCCAGCTGGACACAGTTGAACATGCCTCTAATCCCAGTGGCTTGGAAGACTGAGGCAG